TAAATAATATTAATGTTGTATTCAGAGTGATACAGAAATCAGAAATATACATGATATTGTTACAAGAGTGACTTACAGCCCTTGAATTCCTTGTAGATCTCAAGTTTTAAGATTTCCTTTATTTTTGATATTTTTCAGATGATGTGACATTGAAAATAGATTAAATATGTAATATATGAAAAGAGATAAGATGTATATAATAACATTTGTCTTTTTGCAGCTGAATCTTATAGTTGACAATTAATTCATTATCTCTTAAGTTATTTTCTTTTCTTTTCTTATACTTTTTCTTTGTCTGCTAGTCACTACTCTTACCTGACCTCTATATAGTACAGCATTCAGTGACTAGGTTCAGCAGCTTTTATCTTTTGTGATTCTGTCTTATATATTATACTGTCTCTCTTTGCTCACTCAGATCACTACAGTAAACAGCTCATTGAAACTAATCTTATTCAATCTCTAAGTGTTCTCAGAAGTTGAGATAACTTGATCTCACATATCTGTGAATGTTTCAGATGCTTTATCCTCTGTTATCTCTGTAATTGAACTGATATAAACAGTTGAATTCAACTCTGAATTTCTTTTTCTTCTATAATCTGATTCATATACAAGTCTGCTGCTTTGAGATCACTCTTTACTGTATTATATTCACTGTCTGCAGTGTATTATCATATAATCAGCTACAGTCTCATTACTTATTGAAGTATGATGTTCATCTGATTTCTTCATTACTTTTCATTCTTTTCTTATAATCATGAAAAGATCAGAATAAGTGAAATTATCTGATTTATAAATGTCTATGATTTCTCTTACTTTGTAAGACTTTTCAATCATAAGTCTGTTCTTTTTCAATACTGATGATAGTGCTGTGAATAATTATAATTCACTCAGATCTTGCATCTTCATCTCTATAAGATATGAATTATTTATTAAGTTGTATAAGACTTATCTCTCTGATTCTTTCAATGGATATATTCTCAGAGAATGTGATTTGATTATTTTATAGAATATAAATTATCTAGATTAAAACTTCTCAGAACTCTTATTATATATAAGAATTCACATTATTATCTTGAGACTCAATTTCTTAACTAGTGAGTCTCATATTGTATTTGATTGAATTGCTCAGTTCAGAAGTAACTTATTAACTTTTACACATGTGTGGCTAATCTCTTTCAATCTTAGTTTCATATCTGTGACTACTGCTTTCATAATTGCTTTCTCTTTCACCTTTTTCAAAGCATTCTCTGAGATGCGCGGATGCAATTAATATAACAGATAGAATAATGAACACTTGAAGACTGCATACTGCTGAATTCATGTGACTAATAATATCTGTCTGAGATATTCATTTCATAGTCTTATAGACTTACTTACTAGATATTTCATCAGTATGTTACTTAGAATTTTATTCAAGTGTTTCATCTTTCTGTTCATCTGCAGATAATATGATATTATTCTATAATATTTTATCTGAAACTAGCTTATGAAATGCCTCACTACTTCTTCTACAACATTCATATCATTATCAGTCAGAATTTCATGTGATATTTCATAGTTAGACTGACCGGCGGGACCATGAATTTCACATTTGATTTCATTTGATCAGGTCTCATACATTTCTTGACATGACTCTCACCAGGACCAAGCATCAAAAAAATCTGAAAATGGATCATTTCTGAGAGAAATGAGATGAAAAATGACCAGATTTAATACAAGAACAGTGAAATGAGAGTAATTTCTCAGAATAAACTGTGAAAGATGATCATTCTTTCAAAATCAGAATGAGACTGAGACTGAAGATCAAATTCAGTCTCATTCAGTTCATTCAGTGATTGCTTATATAATCAGAATTTGGTAATGATTATTAATAATACCTATGAAATAACTAAATACATTCTTGTGTAAGTGTATTCTTCACTTTCTCATGAAAACTACACTTCTCTGATATACTGTGATCAGAGGTATTAAACTGTCTGATAATTTCATATTTTATAATGATAAGTTTCTTGATTATTTCTTCTTATAATTGTTCTCAGTAATAGTAATAAATATCTTGACTTGAGTTAAACTTTCACTTCATTCTCATCTCTGTTAATGAAATTATCAGAGTATCATACATTATCAGTGTAATAGTGAAATATATACTCTTAACAATTTTTCATAACTCTAGAATTGATTTGACATGTCAATTCATCAGATTATCTTGAAGATAGTAGTCAAATTCAGTTTTATAAGCATGTAGTTTTGCCTGATTTTCAGTTGTAATTAATATATGCAAGTTCTATTTCAAAGTTAGTATTATAATTCTATATAATATAAAGTATTATCAAAGATTATTACTTACTAGAGAATTTTATTTCACTGTCTTCACATCTCTAATATCTGCTCATTCAAATCTCTGATAATTAGTATTGTAGTAGTCTCAGACTAATTTAATATACAAGTCTCATTTCTTCTCTGTTCAATCTTGAGAAGTGTAGATATTAACTCAATAGAAGAGATCTAGTAGAGCTGCTATAGTATAGTACTCTGTAAAAGATTGTTCAGTTTTGCTGTAATAATATGCCAGTTTATCTCTTACAGTAATAATAGCCTGCACTATAGTATTATCTGAGACTGAATTTCTTTTTAAGTGATTCAACTGCTTCTCAAGATGAGTAAATAAACTATTATACACTTATCAGACTGACTGTAGTATTAATGTATAAGTGATTGAAACTGTCTTCATTGTCTTATAAAACTGAAATAGTAAATCAATCACATATTTCAACTGAGATCACTTCATATCAGAAAGTTTTAATATCTGAATCTTTTCTTAATCAGAGTATTATACTCAATGATCAATTATCTGACATAATTAAAGAGTCTAAAAAGTTATCTTATATATTGAACTTTATCAGATTTCAATATTCTGTATTATATTCAATAATATGACTGATTTGTTTGTTTATTGAATATCATAGAATCATTGTTATTATTTAGAAGAGATACAAATTACATTAACAATGTTTTAAATCTATGATATTTAAATTATTAGTTAATCTATTCAAAATTAACAGTAGCATTATTAAAAAGCATTATTAAAAAATAATATTAAAAAGTATTATCAAAAAATATTATCTTTTATGAAGTGAATGTAAAAGTTACTTGAGTAATTACTTTCATCTCATTCTCATCTCAAGAATCAGTCATTTTATTATTCATTGTCTTGATATTAAGATTCTTCATCAGTGTTTATATCACAAGTTGAATCATATAAGTAATACAGAGAATATGACCTTGTTTACTATTTCAGAAATACAAAGCCAATTTTTACTCTAAACTCTTCATCATAGTATAGTTATTCACAGTATTATCAGTTATAATTATAAGAAGACTGAGATTAATATCTTAATAGTTATTTTTAATCACTATCATTAATATCTCTGTTATATAATTCTCAGTATGACTACTAATCAATGATTCAAATCTAATTAATGTCTCTTGATAAGTTCAGTTCTTATCAATGTAATAACATATAACTTCTATAAATGTAAGATTATTTATACTAGTTCATGTATTCACTGTAAGAGATACTCTTTAATGATTCTTCAACTCTGATTCTAGATATTGTATATTGACTTTATAGTGTGTCTTAAGATTGAACTAAAGACATGATTAATATGAAATATGAAGATTTGAATTAAGCATTTAAAGAAGTGTTCAGAATTTGAGGTTTTCAATTGATTAAAGAGAAAGATTCAGAAATATATATATATAAAGAAATTATTTATAAAAGTTATTAGATAAGAGTTGTGAAATCAGAGTACTGATACATGATTATTTTTACATAATTTGCTTCAAATTAGAAAGTTAGTATTATTAAAAATCATTATCTGATAGAGTAACTTATCAGCTCAGTAGTAATTTTCTGATTATTTTTCTTTTATTATCTGTATTCTGATGACTTTAAATGTCAGAAAATTTCATCAAGAGTTGTGAAATCAGAGTACTGATATATGATTATTTTTACATGATTTGCTTCAAATTAAAAAGTTAGTATTATTAAAAATCATTATCTGATAGAGTAACTTATCAGCTCAGTAGTAATTTTCTGATTATTTTTCTTTTATTATCTGTATTCTGATGACTTTAAATGTCAGAAAATTTCATCAGAGCTATGATCAGTTTATGATGAATATTTCTGAATGAAGTTACAGTAATTACAGTAGAGAGATGACTCTTTAGTAATCTATAATACAATCTATTGATAATTATTTCATAGTTTATCTTAATATTTATGTTGAGTTTTTCATAAATTTTGTGACCTGGAATCAGATATGAAGAATGAAGTGATTATTTATTATAATTGAAAGAGAGCATTTCATGTTGAATTATAAATAATATAGACTTTGTAATTCACAGTGATTTCTTAAAGAGTTTATAAATCTTCAATAGAAGTGAAAGAAGTGAAAGAAATGAATTCAGAAGATATAATAAAGATTTAAGAAAGATGATAATTTATTTTTATTAAAGATAATAACTGATCACTAATATGTGTAAGAAGAATTATTATAAGAGAAAATAATCTTCTTTCTTAGCTTAGTTATAATTTTAGTACTAACTCAGATTGAATATTATCAATATATAAAAGTAAATAAATAATCTTGATTAATCTCTGTTATATTTCTTGAAATATATTAATATTGTGAAAGAGAGTGTTATCAAATTATATTACTAGATAATATCACTAAAAATATATTAATATTATGAATATCAATATTGAAAAAATGTTGATACTTATATATTATAGTGATTTATAAATCATGATTATTAAATATATATATATATATTATTTCTGATATTGATTACAACTTGTACAATAATTTTGAAAAACTCAAAATTAATTTCAATTATTAATAATTATGAACTTATAACTAACTAATATAAAAAGAAAAAAACTTTTTCTACTTATTATCTTTCTTCTCTTTCTCATTCTTCTTATTATTCTTTATAATTCACTTCTCATTCTCATTCTTCTTCTTCTTCTTCTTCTTATTTAAGATAATAATTATCTTAAAATCTCTCTTTACTGTCTTCTTAGAGAAGAGTTTCTGCTGCTTTCTCTCAGTTAGATTAATCTGTATCTCAAAATCCTGCATTTGCTGATCTGCTGTCTCAGGTTTCATCTCAGCAGTAAGTAGATTAACATACTCAGAAAGCAGAACTGTCTTCTCAATATTCTGAATCATGAAGTGCATTTGAGATCTGAATAAGATTTTAATTCTCTTCTTCTCTATTAACTTCTGCTAATTAATTAGAGAACAGAAGTATTATTAAAAATCATTATCTCTTAATAAATAAAAAACTTATCAGTTTTGACTTCTTTGTCTCTCACTTTAATACTCTCTTAATCTTCTTCTATTATTACTTATTTACAGTAATACTCTTCTTTTCTCTCTCTCTCTTTATCTTAATCTCAAATTATTCTCAGAACTTCTTCTGATCTTATCACTACTATATGAGACTCTTCACTATCTTCTTTTTCAATCTCTTATAGACAGTGTCATCTGCATTATTTCTATACTTAGTTCAGTTCAAATCTATCAGAAGTGTTACTTAAAATCATTATTATTTTACTCTCTTACAGAGTCTCTTTAAGATATTATAATATGTCTTACAATCTATCTTCTCTTACTTAAATATCTTCTTCTTCTCTCTTTTCAATCTGTGACAGAACTCACGCGCCTTGATGATTCATAGAACCACAGAATATTTGAAGAAAGATGACATAATTGATTTCAGTAAGTATTGAAAAGAGATGAAGACAGAAGAGACAGTCAGAAATAATATAATAATACTAATAATAATAATGATAATAATGATAATAGTGATGATAATAGTGATGATGATGATAATAATGATGATGATAGTGATGATAATAATAATAATAGAAGAAAGAGTGCATTGAAATATATTACTAACTTATCAAATATAGAGAGACTTAAAGAAAATATTAACAGCTTTCAGAGATGTATAGAAACAGCTACAGTGTTATATAGTAATATCATCTTCATTTAATACATGCACTGTTGATATTCTTTGTATACAGTTATTATATAATCTGTATCAGAGATACATGCAGAAAACAGATCTTTATTACTAGAATGAATAATTACAGTAATTCTCTGTTTTCATATTATAAAGATAAGTTATTCTTATTTCTTTCTTCTCTCTTTTCTCTTCTTCAATCAATCACTAATTTCAAGCTGATATGAAAACTATTAAAACACTCTCAGAAACTCTCAAATTGAAGAGTATAGACTAATCAAATTTTAAATACAGAAGAAATCAAATTATCTTTTACAGATTCAATTACTCATTCTTCTCTTAAATAAAACAGCAGTCACATTCTTCTTTTTCTTCTCTCAATCAAACAAAACATGACCTGTGAAAAGTGAGTATTATATCAGACTATAATGATCAATACAGCCTCAGCATGCAGAGCTGTATACACACAGTGTATATTGAACTGAGAGACTGTGTGAATTGCAAACTAACAGCAGTATCTCAGAGAGAGCTGTGCAGTGTGAAAAAGCTGCAATTCTCAGTCACATATATAGAGAATGAATCACTGTAGTAAGTACATGTATATTATATGAAAGTAACCCTTTTTAATAATACACAGTCTCTGATATTATGAAAATATAGTCTCTTCATGAGATTTATTTTTATCAGAAGTCAGAAAATCTTATATTCTTCAAGATCATCTTTACATATCTTGTTTATAAAATTAATAAGAGAAATCATCAATTTCAGCATTCTATTCTTAATATTATTCAAGTGACAGCAGAGTTCAGTCTGATCATACTTTTTAAGTATATATTTTCTAATTATTCACATTTATACAGATATATACTGATTATTTGTTAGATAATATTAAGATAATGATTCATTTCAGCTGTGTTACTCTCACTGTGAGAGATACACAGTTGATAATAAACATTGTAAAGACTCTGAGAAGTGAGTATTTTAAGAATACTACAGCTCTATAATCTTAATTTTTTTACTTTTTCTTTATTTTTTTTTTATTTTTTTTTCTTTCTCTTTTTTTTTCATTGTGATTTTTTCTTGTTTTTGTTTTATTTTTTATTTTTCTGTTTTTTTTTTGTATTTTATATTTTTTTTATAATTAAACTTATATGAATTATAATCTGTGTTTAGAAAAGTAATGATATTTAATAACACTCTCTATTGAATTTTCAATCAATGAGCACTATGTTATGATATTATGTAAGTGAGAAATGATTTCATAATCTTATTTAATGTCATTCTCAATAATGAGATCAGAATGAAAATGTGACTAAGAATTTAAATATATTCTGTCAGATCACATGATCTGGCTTACTAATCCTTTCATTATATAACTTTTCACAAGCTAGTAATCTTTCAATCATACAAGCATTACACCTTTCACAGGTTATGAGACCTGTTTTGCACAAAATCACTGTCAATTCGGGATTCCTTGTCAATATAATCATTATTTTAACTACTGCTTCATTCAATACACTTATCAGGAGTTAAAATCATCTTATTCTATCAGTATTGATGTGTTTGAGATCTTGATAATCAATAATACTACTGCTCACTTAAAAAGAAACTTGTAGAAAACACATCACATTTGTAAAAAAGCAAGAAAAAGAGAACAATATTGACAAGAATTTAATAAACAAATATCAAGATGACAGATTCAATACAATCTCACTCATATACACATTTGTGATCTCGTGTTCTATTCACTAAGTCAGATGCAGTTGATGATGATGATTCTTTATACTTATACTCTATCAGTGAACATTCTTCTGAAGCTTTTGAAAGCTTCATTGATGAACACTCTGAAACACTCTCTCAATTCAAAGCTGGTTTGAATACAGCTTCTGACACAGTCAGGCCGGCCCTCTGATTTACTTAACAGCTTGATACTAGTTCTCATGAAGTGAACTGTTCAGATGAGACAATATCAGATCAACAGATGAAACATCTTAAGATGATATTTGAGATGAAGAAGAAGAAGTGAAGAGTTCTAGAACTCAAACTACAACTGAAAAAACTTCATCAACAGAGATTCTCTACAGATTAATCACAGAATGTTAATAATCATTCTATCATCATCTCTACAGTCACATGGGATTCTAATCTCAGTGAAAGGTTGAAATTCAATCTTTATGAATCAGATAACCGTGTTGACAAGGCAATCTCTCAATTCAAGAAAGATGTCAAGAGTACTGTGAGGTTAAACAGTCTAACTGACACATTCAATTACATCACATGAAGCATCTTCATGAAATTGAAACTGATTGATGCATAGTGTTGATATATGATAGAGAAATGACAGACTCAGAACCCTTCATAAAGAGATGATGAATGAGTATCATTCTGAGATGCCAGAAATCAGTGACTCTACACATTCATCTCAAACTCATTGAGTGCAGGTGTCAGATCACATTTCTTCAAATATGATGAAAATCAGATCACTTATACTCTATGAAATGTGATTGAACAGGAATACTCTGTTCTTAAAACACAGTTACACTGTGAGACAGTTCTGAAATACATGTCACTTAGTGATACACAGGTCATCAATCTACACACATTCTTTGATAAGTTTCAGTCTGTCATCATGAAGTTGAGAATGATAAATACTCCTTATCAGATATATGAATATTTGATATCTTTCTACTCAGTTCTACTCAACAATTGAAGAAATTATATTCAGAAGAAGATAGAGAAGATACAGGATTTTAAATTCACAGCTGTGATATTGAATGTTTGATCTTTCTCATGAAGAAGATTCATTTCACAGCTTGAATTCTTTAAAAGATAAAAAAGAATCTACTGAATACAGAGTCTGCAGCTAACTTCACTACAACAGCTACAACAGTAACTACAGCTACATGATTCACTACATCGATCAGATCTAACAACTCCAATACATGAATACAGCCGTGAAGGTCATAGTGCATGTGATCGTAGTAATACTCCAGAGAGCTACACAATCATCAGAGATCAGACAAATTCATCTACATATTCTGAATATGAGAGATCTCATTTGACATCTGTTAATTGATTAATTCAGACAGTGCTCTGAATAATTGAAGAATATACAATACTGTGAGAATAAAGAAATTCAAGGAAAAGAAGAAAAAGAACAATAGTGAGAATAGAACTCAACTATTTATTACAGATGAATCAGAGACCTATCAGATGACAAATCTCACAGAGGTTATCAATGTGTCAGCCTGTTTCATGGAATCTCACAAGGATTCCCTCACTATATGAGATAGTGGCGCCGGATGCCACATAGCAAGTGATAGATCACAATTTTCAGAACTTATAGCAATCAATAATTCAACAGTTCAAGTGGTTAATAAGATTATTCTGAAGGTTCAGAGTGTCAGCACTGTGTTCATCTCAGTGAGTGAAAGATTGATAGAATTCAATCATGTATACTATGTGTCAGAACTATCTGCAAATCTGATCTCTGCAGGACTTATAAAGTGCCAGAGCTATATTCACTGTGATATGCAAGTTGATGCTGAGAACTACTTTGAGTTTTTATCATCTATCAACAGTGATATCTTCTATGCCAATCTGTTTCACAATAATATTTACATTCTATTCAACAGCTCACCGACATTTCATGATGTAATGAACAACTCAATGTATGAAGCAGTGACATATATGATCATTCAGAAATCAAAGATAATCTCAATAGATTATGATCTGAATGCAGAGTCTTTGAGACCTTTCAGCTGTGAGAAGATTGAACAGTTAATTAACTCTAAGAATTCAGATACTAATTTCTTTGTTATCTCATCTTTATCTTGATTATCTGCAGTTCTTCTGAAACAGCTTTTAATAGATAAGTGATATCATTAACTTGATCATATCAGTGAAAATAGTATATTAAAAATGATCAGAGACCCATGATTTGATATTGTCATTATCAGCCTGAAAAAATTATCATTCTGTATTACATATGTTAAGACTAAACAGAAACATGATTTCTACAAGAATTCCACACCACATCATGTCACTCACAAGGCCTTGAAGATTTGAGTGAATATATTCAGTGATAATGAGACTCTTGAAACTGAAAATATATCATCTTATACTGATAAGAAGCTTGTAATGATGATTACAGATGATATCACTCAAATGAGATGAATATTTCTATTGAAATGCAAGGATGAGATGTTGA